CATAATGGGTGCAGTAATTGAAATCCAACGGAGCCTTTGAGTAGTTTCTCCGGGCTCAAACTCATTATCACAGATGAAAGCTGAGCTCTACTCTGTGAGAGAAGATGGTTCTTAGAAACAATTTCTTAAACAAAAGCTACACACAAGTTTTACAAGTTAATTTTATTTTAGAAAACAGCAAGCGTTAATCTGAAGTCCAAAGTGTGATCAGTGTGACTACAATATTTGAAAATGACAAGACATTTTCAGGTCTCAGTATGCATTATGCTCATAAGAGTTGTAGCCTGTGAATAATAATAATAATAATAATAATAATAAAATAGTAGTATAGAAGAAGAAGGAGAGCTGGGAAAGAAGGGAAATTATATTGTTCGTCTTTTCCTACCTTTTAGAGAATGTACGTTTCCATTTCTCAAAACAGCAGCAAGCTGGATAACCTGTGCTTCCCATATTTAAAAACCCCACACGCTAGACAAAAATGGCCAAGTATTGGTAAGCTCTCTGTCCACTCCACGTGACTTGTAGCATTACCTCTGTCTGTGTTAAGTTTGTAAGTCTACGAGAAAAGAAAGACAGGGGAATTGTATTTTTTATTTTTATTTTTTTAATATGTGAATTCACCCCAAACTTATTTATAGATTTAATGCAATTCTAATCAGAATCCCAGTAGGACTTTTGTAGATAAGCAGAACCTAAAATTTAAATGAAAAAGTAACATTGATATAATAGTCAAAATAATTTTAAAAGGAAAATAAAATTGGAAGAAATAAATTACCAGATTTTAATACTTATTACAAAGCTGTAGTCATCTCAACTTATATGGTATTGGCAAAAGGAGACATGCGCGGCTCAGTGGAAGAAAATAAAAAGTCTAGAAATAGACCCATATCAATATGGCTAACTCCTGACAAAGGTACAAAAGAAATTCAGCAGAGTAAAGATAGTCTTTCCAAAAAATGGTGCTGGAACAATTAGACACCTATCCAAATATTTCTAAACACAAACAAAAACATAAACGTCATACTTTAAAAAAAAGTTAACTCAAAATAGATCATAAATCTAAATGTAACATGTAAAATAATAAAACATTTAGAAGAAAATATAGGAGAATTAGGGCCTGGGACTAGACAATGGTTTCTTAGACATGACCAAAAAACAAATCACACTTTATTTAAAAAATTTAATTAATTGGACTTCATCAAATTAAAATTTTTGTTCTGTGAAAAACACTGGTAAATAAACAAAAACACAAGCTGAGCTAGGCATGGTGGCTCATGCCTACAGTCTCAGCACTTTGGTAGGTCAGGGCAAAAGGATCACTTCAGGCCAGGAGTTCGAGAACAGCCCGGCCAATATAGCAAGACCTCATTGCTACAATTCTTTTTTTTTTTTTTTTTTTTTAAGACAGGCTGCAAACTGGGAGAAAATAGTGCAAAGCACATATCATGCAACATATTTGTATTTGTAATATATAAAGATTTTAAAACCCAGTGGTAATATAACAATCCAATTTTAAGATGAAGACTTGAAGACTCTTCACCAAAGATATACAGATGACAGAAATGCACGTGAAAAGATGTTCACCATTAGCCATTAGGCAAATGCAAATTAAAGCCATGTTGAGATATCAGTACACACCTACTAGAATGGCTAAAATAAGAAACGAACAACACCAAACACTGGTAAAGATGCAGACCAACTGGAATTTCCTTTCTGCTGAATAACAACTTTTTCTTAAAAACGCTATATGAAGATGCTTTAAGTGATATTTTGATATTGTGGTTTTAGACAGACACACTCGCCAATTTACTCAATACAAGTGTCTAGTCAGAGGACATAGGGAAAAAACTTGAATTGTACAACATACTCTAATCAACCATAAAACGCTTTTTTTGGCATTAGAAACTTCTAGACTTCTATCTATTGTGTTGACTATTTCCTCATTTTAAAAAGTATTCTTGGATTTAGGCTTAATTTTATCCTTAAGCACAAGCTGGCAAACTTCTGTAAAAGTTCAAATAGTTAATATTTTCAGGTTTGCAGGACATGGCCCTCTGCTGCACAACTTAACTCTGCCTTCGGCGCAGAGCACCTGGAGACAACAGGTAAGGAAATGGGCATTTCTATTGCTTGCGTTGCAATAAAACTTTGAAGAACCGACTGCGGGTGGATCCGACCCACAGGCCATAGTAGTTTGGCAACCCGGGGTTACAGCAGCAGATGTATGCATTCGGAAGGCAGCAGGCGTGTCTGCCAAGATGATTTAATAGGATCCCCTGCGAGATCAACGCAGAAGGCGGGCGACCCCCGCACCTCCGACCCAGGCACCAGGCCTATGCCACTGGCACCGGCCAGACAGTGTGTGCAGCCCTTGGAGGAGGAGCCGAAGCAGGTTCAGGGGCGCCCCACCTGGGAAGCGCAAGGGGTTGGGGAACTGTCCCCCCTCAACCCACCCCCAGGCAAGGGAAGCTGAGGGATGACGGGGCTGCGAGGGAGGGCACAGCGTGCCCAGACACCACTTTTAAGAGTGAAGGCACCAGGTTCCATGGGTCAGCAGAGAAAAGTGGATAAAGCAAAGGGGGCAAGGGTCTCCATCTCCCGATTTAGTCTTCAGTCACAGGGCGTCTCTGCTCCTCCATTGTCCACCAAAAAAGGAAAATTTGAGAAGAGAAATTCAGAGGGCAGAATGAAATGACACATCACCTCGTGAGGGCGCCCTGGCCTATGAGAAGGCCATTGAGGAGACTGAGAAATGAGTAAAGAAGACAGTGACTGGTTTTTGAAAGGGCTGTAGATTGCAAGTAGTTGAAATGTGGTTGAGGGAGACTCACCACCCTCTAGAGAGGGCGTAGAACAGGAGAGTTCTCCATGAAGTCTCATCAACAGAAGCCAATAAAGACCTCACCCCAGAGAAACCAGCACATGCCCAGAGATACCGGGAGGCCAAGCTGGAAGCTGTGCTAGAGGCTGCAGTCCAGTGAAGTAGCAGGGGTCCTGAGTGCAAATTCAGATCTGCCTCTAATTCAGCATGCAGTTGGGCACGCCGTATTGGTGTCTCTTCATCATGATAGGACAGCAAACTCTGCTTTCCCCAACTCTGGTGTATGCCCCAATCAATTGTTATCTAGCACAGGAGGCGTGGGTACCAAAGAGCATTGGATGTGTAGTTGTGCATCCAGACACTTTTAAGTTATTGCATATCCTTGGGCAAATTGTGTAACTGAAATCTATTTTTTTCATTGTAAAGTGAGAATACAGAGGTTTTGTGTGAGTTAGATACAATTTAAAAGCCTGTAGTGCTGTGTCTTGAAACATAGTCATTCCTTCTGCAATTGATCAGATAATTGTACACTTTGAGAAATTGTACATTTAACCAGCGCCTCTTATGTTGCCTGGTGCAACAATGAGAATGGTCTGAGCATGTTTCTCCAACTGCCCCTGAGCCTGCAGAACTGTGTTCCCACAAGTAGAGGGTGACATATGGGGAGAAAAGGGCAGGTAGAAGGAAATTCTCTGGCTCAAACAGAACATATAAAGAAGTTTGGGAAGACCAGACTAGACAGAAGGGATAGAACAGACTTCCTGGGCCCTATATAACCTGCGGTTTTCAATTTTCACCATACCTTACATAGAAATATTTGTTTTGAGCAAACCTATAGCTATTATCTTAATTGGATGGTCAAGCTTCAGGTTTAGAGCAAAACTTAGGAAGTCTGAGCCCCATTTATCTCATACTGTTATAAGTCTTGGGAAAATTAGAAAGAAGCAAGGCCTCTTTGGGATCATGAAGCCCTTTTAAGTAACCATTTGGCCTAGGGAATGAAACATCTGTAAGTTCCCAAAGGCAATTTATTAAGGAGGATTGGAAAGTATAGTCTTCTTGCCTCCTCCTTCAAAAGACGTAAGAACTAAGGCTTTCAATCAAAACCTTTTCACTAAGTTTAATTAGTGAAAAGGTACTGGGTAGGAACCAAGTGAGCTTTGTGCCATTGATTCTGAGGTAAATAGTGGTTACCATAAGAATCAGAGGGTAGAAGTAACCCAGGTAAAGCAAGTGCAAACCAGAGGGTGGCATTCAAGCAGTATCCACTGGCGGCAGGCCAACCTTTAGAAGGAGAAATGAACGTTACTTTTCTTGGACATGGCATCAAGATAGGGTCAATTGGATTTTATCAGAACATTTAGGATATTGTTAATCCAATCATGAGTCTGTTGAATAATGATATTGTTTTGTTACTTTTTCCAAGGATTTTAAAAATTAAACTTTCCACTCTGTATCAAGCACAAAAGTGCTATGCGTAGTGTAGGGTTCAGGGCTCAGTTCATGAAAAATTTACCATCTAGGATGGAGGTTGGGAAACGATAGCCTGTAGACCAAATCCTGTTTGGAGGTTATTTTTGTAAGTAAACTTTTGTTGGAATTCAGCTATACTCATTCATTTGTATATTGACTATGGATGCTTTTACACCACCATAGCCAAATTGATATGTTGTGACTACGACTGTATAACTCAATATTCCTCAAATTTTTATGATCTGACTTTTTACAAAAAAAAACTTTGCTAACCAATAATTTAAGGGGAACCTACACTAAGGATAAAACATTGAATTACAGATATGTAATTGATCAGTCAGTTATCTTCAAGCCCAGGACCTTACTATGGTAACTCCCAAAGCTAACTCAACCTCAATACATAAATTTCCATGGGCATTGAAGCCATACTGGCTTCCTACCCTGAGAAGTTATTTAAGCAGCTTAACAGATGGATAAATAGGACCTGTAGGAAAAGTTGAAAATATAAGCTGTCAGTTTTAAATAATAGAAAGGAAAGAATAACTATGATATTATTTGTCATGATTTTTTTTCTTAATAGATTTCAATTTCAAGAAAACATTGATTCTTAAAAAACAACTACACTTGCGGCTACCACATTTTGTTTTACCCTATTTTGAATGACATAAATATAAAAAAAGAATAGTATCATTTTATGCTGCAAGATTTTATTTATAAAAAACAGTTGAAATTATCACACCTTATTTTTAAACTCAATTGCCCTATTACCCAATTGTCCTATCCCGAGGCATTTGATTAATAACCCTTGTTTTGATTCCCATTTGCAGAGCGTAGATCAGTTTCCCAACGGAGAACATATTAACCAGATCATGGTGCTGGCTTCAGGGAACAGCTCTTCTCATCCCGCATTCTTCATCCTGCTTGGAATCCCAGGCTTGGAGTGTTTCCAGTTCTGGATTGCCTTTCCGTTCTGTGCCATGTATGCTGTGGCCATTGTTGGAAATATAACTCTCCTCCATGTAATCCGAATTGACCACACCCTGCATGAGCCCATGTACCTCTTTCTGGCCATGCTGACCATCACTGACCTGGTCCTCTCCTCCTCCACCCAACCTAAGATGTTGGCCATATTCTGGTTTCATGCTCATGAGATTGAATACCATGCCTGCCTCATCCAGGTGTTCTTCATCCATGCCTTTTCTTCTGTGGAGTCTGGGGTGCTCATGGCTATGGCCCTGGACCGCTATGTGGCTATCTGCTTCCCATTCCGACACTCTAGCATCCTGACCCCATCAGTTGTGATCAGACTGGGGGCTGTTGTGTTGCTGAGAGGGCTGCTGTGGGTGAGCCCCTTCTGCCTCATGGTGTCTAGGATGCCCTTCTGCCAACACCAAGTCATTCCCCAGTTGTACTGTGAGCACATGGCTATGCTGAAGTTGTTGTGTGCTGATACAAGCATAAATCGTGGGTTTGGGCTCTTTGTGGCCTTCTCTGTGGTTGGTTTTGATATGATTGTCATCAGTATATCGTACATAATGATTTTGAGAGCTGTGCTTCAGTTGCCCTCAGGTGAAGCCAGCCTCAAAGCTTTTGGCACATGTGCCTCCCATATCTGTATCATCTTGGCTTTTTATATCCTGGCCCTTTTTTCTTTCCTCACTCACCGCTTTGGTCATCATGTGCCCCGAGTGGTAAGCATTCTGTTTTCTAATTTCTATCTACTGGTACCTCCCATGCTCAACCCCATCGTCTATGGAGTTAGAACAAAACAAATAAGAAACAGGTTTATCCAAGGATGTTTTGGAAAAGTACTTTGAGCATGACCACCACTTAAATTGCCCCACTGATCAGGGGACATAAATGAATATTTTTCAGGCCATTACATATCATAACTAAGTCAGCTCTGTAACAATTGGCCAAGAGGCAGATAAACCTTCAGAAACAAAAGGAACAATTTTCAGGATATCCAGTCTAAGTGATCTCTGAGAGATGCCATAACAACTTAGTTGACCTAAGTTCATCATCACAAGAAAACAATAAGAATAAGTCTTTAATCCATGTGGAGTTAATTTTAAAGGAGTCCAGTTTCTGCTTTCTGCACATGACTAGCCAGTTTTCCCAACACCATTTATTAAACAGGGACTCCTTTCCCCATTGCTTGTTTTTGTCAGATTTGTCAAAGATCAGATGGTTGTAGATGTGTGGTGTTGCCTCCAAGGCCTCTGTTCTGTTCCATTGGTCTATATCTCTGTTTTGGTACCAGTATCATGCTGTTTTGATTACTGCAGCCTTGTAGTATAGTTTGACGTCCGATAGTGTGATGCCTCCCACTTTGTTCTCTATAGCCCTTTATATCAACCCAGACAATACATTCTATTGATTGCAGGTTGTTAGATAATAACTCAACCAATTGCCAATCAGAAAATCTATGCATCTGCCTATGACCTGGAAACCCCCACTTTCAGTAGTCCTGCTTCTAAATTAATCAAGACTTGTCTCAGATAGTTTTTTGGTTTACATTATTGTTGGCATTTGTGCCGTGTGTGTAGACCTATGGCCCAAATATCCCCAGGAAAATGATGAGGCTGAAGGCAGCAGGAGTGTGAAGGAGTATGAGGTTCTCTTGTCCCACCTTGATGTTAAACATTTTAATGTGTGGTTTTGACTTATTAACCCCGAAATCACTGGTTCTTCCTACTCTGTCTACTGAGGCCAGAGCTTTGAAAAGTCAGTGAATATTTTTAAAAAGGATGTCACCTTTCACAGATGATCCAGGTAAAAATAATATTTACACTACTGGTAGGAGTACAAATTAGTATACTTTGTTTAAAAGAAATTTAGAAATGTACATAAAATAGAAAGTATTCTCTGTCTCTCTCTCTCTCTCTCTCTCTCTCCATATATATATGTATATATATATATATATATATATATATATATATGCATACACACACATATATGTAATTTCCCCACTGAGAATCAAAATTTTGGAAGCAAAAACACGTATAAAGTCATGCACAAAATCATTTTTTGTGAAAACCCAACAGAAAACCATTCAAATATTGTCCTGTAAGAAAACAGATGAATCAATGTGCAATTGAGTATTAGATGCCTTTTAATATCTGATATTTGCAACAAGTATCCAAAGATGTAATAAGTGATGAAGATATGTTAAGTTTAGAAAAAAGAAGAATTGTCTTTAAGGCTTGATGCCAATTCTAAAATGGAATGCATATACATAAAAAGAAACTCAAGAAAGGCATCCAAATGATAGTCAAAGCTATTCTAAGTAGTGAGACTTGTAGTATTTTCATTTTCTTTTTGTGCCTTAGTGTATTTTTAAAAATTATCCTCAATTGAGAATGTTTAATTTTAGTATGGGAAAAATCATGAAGATAACAACAGAAACACAGGTAAAAGATTAATTCAGTGCCAAAGCTTAGTGAGGTGAGATGGGCAATCTGAGAGGATGAGACGCAGAGGCATAGATGAGATCCATCCAAGCTCAGGAATCCAGATGTAAAATTTCTGCTGGATCATAGCTTCTTCAGATTCATAACTCACAATGGGGCTTAGGTGAGCTGAAGTATTGTTCTCTCTTTCCCAACATTTTCTTATTCCCCATCTCATTCTGAAGGACAATGGACTTCAGAATGCAGCAGAAGTTTTTGGAAAGAATGAGGAAGATCTTCTCTTCTGAATAGACTATATTGTATGGCGTAAGATGATAGGAAAGCTATTAAACACTTTAATAATGTATTTTAATGGTAATTTCTTTTAAATTAACGTTTTAAACCATTTTTAAAAGCATGCGTCCTTTCTATTAATTGGACTTGAATTGTCAACATTTTACTGCTCTTTCTTAGAAAGCCAATGAAGAAGGTTGTAGAATTCAGGGTCTTATGTTTCTAAAAGCAACATTAGATTCAGGTGCTTTGAGTGGATTAAGGAGCATATTTGCCTCTTCCAGAACTAACAGATTATGTTGAAGTCTGAAGATACCTTGCTCCCCACCAAAAATGGATACTCTGAGGAGCATTTTTATCCTTCCCCAATTTTAGAGTTAAAGGGACCAATTTTTCTCTATCTGCAAATTAATCAATGAGAGACTTTCTTTTTAAATTTTTAAAATTAGCTTTCTTAACTGTGTAACTTGTAACAATAAAATTTAAATGTTTCTATACACATTTTGATGAGTTTTAACAACTGTGCAGTCACCAGCTCCTCAGTCAACATGAAGAACATTGCAATCATTTCATAAAGATTTCTCCTGCCCCAGTGTAGTTTGTCAGCCCCCCTCCACCTCAACCAAGGAAACCTTCACATGATTTTTTCACTATAGATTAATTCTGATGGCCCTATAGCTGTACATCAATCGAAGAATAGATTACTTATCATTTTGAGTCTGTCATCATTAATGCAGTATAATGTCACTCAAGCTGTTGTGCATATTAGTAGTATATTTCCTGATTTTGCTGAGCAGTATATTCAATGTTTTCAACATGCCTTTACCAGTATAGCAATATTTCTCTCCTTTGCTCCAGCCCTTCTAGTCTTTTTATACTTCCAAACACATCAGTGGCTTGTCTGTATTAAGTCTTTGCTCTTATTTTTTCCAGTTTCCCCAGTTGTTCTTCTAGAGGGCATTCTAGCTCCCATCATTATCCTCTAGGTCTCAACTAATGCCACCTTCTCCAACAGGTTTCCTCACCCACCTGTCTTCACCAGATCCTGACCTATGCAACTTTAATATCAATTCACGTATTTTGTTTCCAACTTATCACTTACCACAATCTCAAATTTTTATTACTTATTTATCATCTGTGGCTATGACTTGAATATAACTTCATAAGAGAATAGTGCTGTTGCTCACTCATTTATCCTAAAATCTAGCACACACCTAAAAAAAAAAAAAGAAAGAAAAAAAGAGAAAGGTACATGAATGAATAAATTTGAATGTTTCTGATCTGATGCATTGCCTGGACAATTCCAATACTGTCTAAATTTGGCATTTGCAGATATACTTATGCCTCATTCCCCCCAAACTACTATAGTACCAGATCTTTCAATCTTAAGGACTCCTGTCATTATCTGCACTGAATTAACATTTTGAGGGAGGTTGTGTGATATGGTTTGGATCTTTGCCTTCACCCAAATCTTGTTGAATTGTAATCCCAGTGTTGGAGGCGGGGCCAGCTGGGAACTGATTGGATCACAGAGGCTGCTTCTCATGAATCATATAGAACCATCCCCTTGGTTGCAATAGTCAATGAGTTCATGAGGTCCTGTCATTTAACAGTGTGTAGCACCTCCCCGCTTGCTCTCTCTTCTTCCTGCCTGGCCACGTAAAATGTAGCTGCTTTCTCTTTACCTTCTGCCATGATTGTAATTTTCCCCAGGCCTCCTCGGAAGCAGAAGCTGCTATGCTTCTACAGACTGCAATTAAATCTCTCTTTTAAAAATAAATAACCAGTCTCAGGTATGTCTTTATAGCAGTGTGAGAATGGACTAATACATTGTCAAATAAGATAGATTTGTTATAAAATAGCAAATTGTCTCTGACTCACCCCTTTTTATAAAAATTAATCTATTTGTAACATTTTAAATTTCTATTCAAGCAACATATTAAGTGTTACTCTGCATTCAGTGTTTTGCTGGAGAATGGAAACAGAATAGGGAACAAAAGAAACTGAGAAGCATAGAATCTAGTTTTATTAAAACTATTATTTAAGATGGGTTGCACTATCATGATTGTGAGCCACCTTAGGTATTCTGAATCAATAAAAATAGACAATTCTCTTCCTTACAACTTGAAGAGTTCCTGTGTCCATGACATGAAGTATGTGACTAACCTTGAGTGTGTCTATACTCATTTACAAAAGCTCTCAAGTGAGCACATTGATTGAGGGATTCTATTTTCCATTTGTTAATGGGCAGAATCATCACGGTGACAGTCTTCCCTCAAATAACACAAATCTATGATCATAGTGATTAAGAGAAGCCAGACAGGACATATCAGAGGTGGATCCCAGTAAGTCAGTTTACCGTGGTTTCTAAATGTTACTCAGAGCCATACTGTGATCTCAGGGTTCAGTTCTAGAGTGCTTCCCAAAGGACGATGCTTCATCTTCTCTGCACAGAGCCAAACACAGTGCTATTAGGATGCTGATGTTTCATAATGAAATCAACAAGCATTTTTTGACCAGTGGCTATGTACCCAGTGCAATGCTTGGGATATAGAGATAAAGTTTACAGCTCTTCCTTGGAACCTACCTCTTCCCTCCTGCATTGCCTGTTCCATTTATCCTCATCATACTCACTGACTCCTGTGTATCATAATGATCTGGCTCTGTGTGTGCCTCTATGTCTTATCCACCATGAAGAAAAATGTTGCTTTATTTACCTCAGATCTCGGCAAATCCTAGCACAGAACAGGTATCAGTAGGTATGTGGGAAGCAATATCTTTCTATTCAATGGAGGTGACAGGCATATCACTAAAGAACTAAAATACATACTTTTAATACTCTGCATATTAAGTATTTTAAGCCAAAAATAAAATCCTAAGTCTCCAAATCATCTGAATGGATCCCTTATCTCAACTAAGGTCATTCTACAGTTAGCCTGTAAATCTCCTTCAGGCCATGATGAGAAGGGGAAGTCAGACATGCCTCATGACTGTTAACATCAACACAAGCCTTAGACTCATGGAACAAACCTTTTAAGTCTGATATGAAACATTTCCAATCCTCCCTCTCTGAAACTAGTTACTTGGAGGCTTCATCTGCATGATAAAAGCTTGGTCTCTACAGCCCCTTATATCAACCCAGACAATACATTCTATTGATTGCAGGTTGTTAGATAATAACTCAACCAACCACCAATCAGAAAATCTATGCATCTGCCTATGACCTGGAAACCCCCACTCTCAGTAGTCCTGCCTTTCCAGACTGAACAACCAACGTAGTGACACCTTGCATGTATTGATTGATGTCTTATGTCTCCCTAAAATGTATAAAACCAAGCTGTGGCCTGATCACCTTGGGCACAGGTCAATAAGACCTCCTGAGTGTGTGTCATGAACATGTCCTTAACCTTGGCAAAATAAACTTCTAAATTAAGACTTGTCTCAGATAGTTTTTTGGTTTACATTATTGTTGGCATTTGCACTGTGTGGGCAGACCTATGGCCCAAATATCGCCAGGAAAATGATGAGGCTGACGGCAGAAGGAGTGTGATGTTCTGTTGTCCCACCTTGACATTAAACATTTTAATGTTTAGTTTTGGCTTACTAACCCTGAAGTCACTGGTTCTTCCTACTCTGTCTACTGAGACCAGAGCTTTGAAAGCCAGAGGGGAGGAAAGAAAGGCGCAGGCAATGTGCTGCCTGATTTTGTAAAGCATGGCCCTTCCCATTATTCCATCTCTACCCCAGATGAGGCTGGACTCTCGGTCTGTGGTTTCCAGTTCTCAATGTGTCTATCCTAAGTGTCGCCATCAATGAAGACATGTGTAATGTGTAAATGAGCTCATCCAAATACACTTTGTAGATGAGGAAACAGAAACCAAAGAATCTAAGTAGCAAATTTGGGTTTCTTCCTGAACCAGAAAATAGAACAACTCAAAAGGTGGGAAAACAGTAAACACATATATAAACAGAAAACAGAGCTCCTAGGTGGGAACTGAGTCTCTCTAAAAAATCAGGTGAAAGTCTTAAAGAAATGTATAAATAAAGGGTTGTGGACTACGTAACTCTGAGGAGAAATTTGCATTGTCATTCAGTTTAATGATGTCCCTGAAGTTGTAGAAAACTGTGCCTTAGGGAGAGAATAAAAGGCAAATTTTACTTGTTCCAATTTCTGCTTCTTGAATGTGCTAGCTCCATTTGAAACCTCATGCCTTGAAAAGAGGACCAAGGCCTATAGGGAGGGAAGAGAGACAGGATGCATCCTCACTCTATCCTCCCATGTTAATTGGCTTCCTGACTGAGTAGAAAGGGATCAGTGGATGTTTAAGCCAGATTTACGGCCGGAGGTCTCTTGCCACCAGAAACAGAGCAATTATAGCGCATAGTCTCTGCAACAGGAAGTCATGGACAAGACATTAGGAACGGAAAGTCTGTTCAGGGAGGGGTAAATGTTGTTCTAGGAAAGGAATACAGAAGTCTAGCATGTGGTAACATAGACTGTGGACCAAATGGGATGATGGCTTGAGTTACCAACAGAACTTTATGAAGCTAGTTTTATTAAATAACACAAGGCATGGGGAAAATTCATTCATTCATTTCTTGATGAACTTCAATGAACTCTTCAATATGTATTCTGTTTTACTAGCCGTCAACGGCCATGTTTTCAAAAAAATTTTCACAATTGATTGTGATTTGTTTTGAAGGTGACTATTAAATCATTCTTACTACTGGTTGCCCAACACTTACCAGCCTGGAATAGAGTAAGTGCTAAATAGGCCAAGTTGATTTGTTCCATGAAGAAATATGTGAATGATGAATACTGTGTTCTAAAGAGGCCTCACATAGCTTTCTAAAAAGTGAATAAGCCACTGTATTGTTTCTCTGGGAGCTCTCGTTCTCACTGAATAGGCGAGTACAGGAGCCCAGAGTGCATTGTTGTTTATGGGATCATTGACAATGGCAATACTTCTAGTGACAGCTACAGAAGAAATGAGCACTGAGGTATTATCCTTTTCCCAAGGTCCTGGACATTAGGCCTGAGATTGCCTTAGGAATAGCAAAGGAAGAGAAGCACTGCAGTAGCCGGAGACCTGGCATCTCCCAGGAGTCACAGCTCGGGCCTTTCTTTAGTGTGTGACTGGAAAAGTTTCCCCCCTTCCTAACTCCAGAAAGTTTGTCTATTTCCTCCCTTCTCAGAATAGCAATCAATGACCAGGGCTGCCTACGTCCCTGAGAAAGTGTTTATGTGTACACAAGGAAGTCTGTATATTTATGAATTCCTCCTTGGCAGGGGTACTTAAGGGCATAGATCTATTGAAAAGGGGTCTGAAACGCCAAAAGTATTCTACTTAAAAGTAGGAGTTTCTGTTTTTTTTTTTGTTTTGTTTTTTGAGCAGGAAGAATATATTGAGCACCAATGTGGGGCATGGGGAAGACACAGAGCAAACATTGAACTTGGTCCTTATGATTTTGTAAGGAGAGAGAGATTTGTAAAAAATTAGAAATGCCATTCACATGGGCCAAACAATACAATTACATATTTTGAATCTAGGCCTGTCACTTGGAAACTGTATAACCTTGAATAGTTACTCGGTTACTTTAAGTCTCATTTCCCTCATGTATAAATATTTATGAACACTTTTTCTCAAAGTTGTTGGGGAAATTTACCATTATACTCTATAGAAGCTACTAGCATATTTTATTTCATATTAGCAAATTAAATGAGATATTATAATGTAATAGATAATTGCCTTATAATTGCCTGTGTGCATATTTTTCTACAGAAAAGTCATCCAGAAAACGGATGCATTTTTCCCTGTATCTCCAACGTCTAGCATCATGACCAGCATTTCATCAGCATTCAATGAATATTTATTGAGTGAATAAGTAATTACTCTAGCAAATTTGTTGCATAATAATTAACACAATTCCTAAAGCATGTATTAGACTCACTGCGCAGTCACATTGCACATATACCCACATTGTGTACCTTCAATTTTTTAACTTCTCTGTGCCGAGAATCTTCACTTACCTTACACAAAACCCAGGAATAACTTTACTCAGCAAAATTTTACTGCATCGTCTAGTATACAATGAAATTAATGTCACTTACACTGAGTCAAAGAGTAAACACAGAATACCTATTAATCTACTAAGTACATGGCAAGAAACTAGAACTATGATAAATATGTACAGAAGCGATGTCATAGAAAGGGAGAAAGTATGCATCAGGGAACCACAGATATGCCTACTTTTATTTCATCACAGATATCCATTACCAATAAATTCCTAAACATAAAGATATATTTTTGATCCTATAACACTTTTCCTTACTTTATTTTGAGAAAAAAAATATTAGATGCCAAAACCTTTGGCAGCACTATAGAACTTCTTGAATCTTTCTTACTGTAATTATTATTAAATTGATAACCAAGGGTGAAATATAACTAAATATTTTATGAATAAACATACATAAGTGTTATCTGGATAGATGTGATAATTTGTTCTCACTGATGCTCATCTCCAGTGTCAAAGAAAAGTTTGAAACTACTTAATAAATTAGATTTTGTGACACCATATGTCAAAACGCAGACATTCCAAAATACAGTATATACAGAACAATAATGACCTGTTATGTATCTTCACCCACAAACCTTACCCATTTCTGCATTTCCCCAGATGTGCAAAATTTGATGCGCCATAACTGTGGAAAATTAATTAATTCTTACAGTGGATACTTACTCTGCTTCTTACACGATTCCATTCTACTAGGCCCTGTTTTTTCTCCTCTGGAACACTTGGATGATCCTTCTCCGAATCTGCTTGGTCTTCACACTGTAGACAATGGGGTTTAGCACAGGGGGGAGCAGCAGGTATATATTGGCCATGAGCATGTGCACTACTGGTGGTAAATGCTTCCCAAATCTGTGGATCATGGAGGCACCAATAAAAGGAACATAGAAGAGGAGCACAGCGGACATGTGAGACAGGCAGGTGCTGAGGGTTTTGAGCCTTTCACCACTGGAGGCAATGCCCAGCACAGTTTTCAGGATGAATACATAAGACATTAGAATGAGGAGGGCATCAAGCCCCAGTGTGAAGATGACGACGATGAGGCCGTAGAGGCTGTTGATGCGGGTGCTGGCACAGGCTAGCTGCATCATGTCTTGGTGAAGACAATATGAATGAGACAAGATATTGGAATGGCAGAAGGGTAGGCGCTTTATAAGGAAGGGCACAGGGAAAACCACAGAGACTGCCCGGGTGAAGATAGCTATTCCAATCTTTCCAATAACACCATGAGTGAGGATGGAAACATAGTGTAATGGGTTTCGGATGGCCACAATTCTGTCAAAGGCCATGGACACTAGGACTCCTGATTCTACTATTCCAAATATATGGATGAAGAACATCTGTGTGACGCATGAATCAAAAACAATCTCAGGGACATTAAACCAGAAGATGCTGAGCATGGAGGGCAAGGTGGACAGGGAGAGACTAATGTCACTGAGAGCCAAGATAGAGAGGAAGTAATACATGGGCTCATGCAGACTCGGCTCCACCTTGATGACAGCTAGGATGGTACCATTTCCCAGGAGTGTGAGTGTGTAGAGAAATCCCAGGGGAAAGGCCAACCATGGGTTCTTGTCTGGCATTCCTGGGATACCTGTCAGAATGAAGCTATGGCGGTGGGCATGTGATGCATTCAAGTTGATCATGTTGTTGTTCTCACCATCCGGTGGGGCTGGACTCTTCCACTTGGCTCACAGCTCCTAAAATGAATATATATTCTCATATAGACAGTACAATGGCTTTATGAATGCACAGGTGGAACACCAGGGGAAAGAATAAAGTTAAAAAACAACATTTAGATGATAATTGTAACACTTTGTCTTTTTCCTCCCTACACAGTTACTTGTGATGACTTTTTTCTCTTGAAATACATTTCTTTATTTGAAAAATGAAAACAAGATTAAACATCCACTGTTTAGATAATAAAGAATTTTGATATCTCCTCCTTGTATAGCTCTTAAGGTTTAGCAGAAAAGAAGTAGACATTACCAAGGTCTTCATAACATAGAGCATATTGCTAAATAATTTTTTAAAACCCCACTAACTCACAATACCGTCACTGCACACTCATGACTACATACAATCCCACTGTCATCATAACCTACATTCACATAAATCCATGTGTATTAGGGTGTTTTATACACACATATATATATATATATGTATAATATATAGATATATGTATATATAATATATAATTCAATATACTTCTATATACTATATATTATATACATATTATATATACTTCTGTACACATACATGTTTCTATATGATAGGAAATATACTCTATACACACATAAATTTATTAGATTGGTGCAAAAGTAATTGCAATTTTTGTCTTTTTCAAATCTGATATGTGCATGTGTGTGTGTGTGTGTGTGTATGGAGAGAGAGAGAGAAAGACAGAAAGAGTATGTATTCTGGATATCTATTGTAAAGATAATTGTAATGAATTACATATGCAGATATATACATTATTGGATGAAATTATTCATATTAAAATTTAATCTTCAGAAATTTCAATAATCTATAATTTTCCATAGTCTCATTTTAAGGTAGCTAGAAGAAAATAAAGGTCATTGGCTCATAAGTAACCACACAGAAGGTATAAGAGAATAGGCACTTACAGGACTCTATTCCTAGAGCATATAGTATTTAGCTCAGTTCTTTCAAGCTCCCTTACTGATCATTCTGTATCCATGAGTGCCTCCTTCTAATACATTCTTCATTCGGCAGTTAGGATAGACTTTTTTAAAGCAAATATAAATCTCATTTATTCATCTCAAGCAAAACTCCTTTAAGGGCTCCCATTGTACTTAGAACAAAGCTCTAAATCCATATTTTAGCCTTCAATGTAAAGCAGGACTCAACCCCTACCTACCTCTCTATTACCAACTCACACCATTTACTCTCCCCTTTGGTCCCTTTAATCCAGCCAAATTTGTAGTCTTTAAGTTCCTGGATCCCAGTGAGATACTTGCTGATATAGGGTTTCTACATGCAGTCTTTCCAGTTTTTTCTGTTTTACTTCACCCCTCGTAAAGCTCATCTTTGCTTAAGCAAAGCCTAGCTGTGCTTCCCAAGTATGCCAATTCCAAATATCCACGGTAGCTTAAGGTTTCCTTGTATGCTGTTTTCACATTTTTGGGCTCTTCCGTCTTATAAGTGAGTATAGTTAAACATTGCATATGTACTTGTTTAATGTCTATCTCTCCTACTGGAGGTTTAAGCTTCCTCATGTAAAGGTCTATTTTATGGTTCATCACCTTATTGAGCATATGCAAAGTATTTATTAATTTTTCCATATTAGTGCAATGAAGACATAAAATAATGAATGGGTGAATATGGATGATTGAATGTCAATTTTCTTTCAGAAGAAATCTTATAATCCCTCAAACTCCATTTTGATCTTCTGCACATGAATTAAAAAACTTCAACAAAGAGAAAAATCTATTTTTCTAAGAGGCCACAGACAAAACATTAAATCGGGAGTCTTTGAGAGGTGTTAAGGTGTCTTTGTTCTCACCTAGGTACTTGTTAGAAAAGAAAAAACATCCCCAGAGCTGGTCTGGGAACTTTGAAGTTGGGGTGAGATCAGGCACGCAAGACCTAGTAGTTTCCCTACCTTTTCTGCCTCCTATTTCTCTGCTCCAGGATGAAGGTTTTTCTGTTAGAAAAATGTGACTACTGCTAAGTTATTTTACAGATTTAAGTCTCTTAAATACAGGTGAATTTTTGAAAGGTAGTGTAGTCTATTCACAGTTGTGTTGTGTCTTTCTAATAGAATTTGGGCCCCTCTCTCCTGGAAATCACAATGGTCAGATCTAAGCAAAGTACTTTGTGATTCCTGCTTAACCTTCTGTCTGCACTCTGAGGAGGGGTTTTGTTTTACTTTAAATGTTAAGTGAGAGCCTTCACTTGCTTGGGCCTGCTCTTCCGTATCCCCAGAAATTCTTGTGGCTTTCAGGTGGTAATGACCAGCTGGTTCACCCCTACTAGAGGTTTTTTGGGACCTACCTGAAAATTTTTAACATTCTTTAAGTCCTGAGGGCCTGCCGTAGCCCTGTTCTTCCATGTGAATAGTTGATTTTCGTTTACCTCTTCTGTGTTACTGCTTTTGGCTCTGATTTTCCTTACCAGAATCAGTGTTTTACCCTCATCTTCTTTTTGATTTTTCATTCTTATCTCCATTCTTCATCTTCCTTCTTTCAATCTTCTTTAATTTCTAGACCCCTTCTTTCTCTATCTCTCAATGAAATTCTTTTGCATTCTTCCATTCCATCTTTATTTTATGCTTAGCCATGCACTATACCCTTCCCATATCTATGTCTTCTTTTACTCCTAATAACACCTGCATTTTACTTTTTCTATCCATCTTTGCTTTCTACCAACACATGACATTCTATACACTATTCTCAGCTGTCCTTATCATGTTCCTCTCTAGAATTTCTGTGAGGATTTAATGAAAAAATGACCTAAATAATCTTACACAGAGCTTGTGAAGTAGAGGACATGGAAAAAAATCTTTTAAGATTAATTTATTATATTTATCAACCTTGTGCTATGGTTCAGAATTAATTTCTTCTTTCCTTTCCTGAGACTAGCATTCAGAGCCCTTATAAAGGCTGCCCAAACCTCTGGTGGGGTCTGGAGTCATCATGATTCTCCAAGGATTTCACAACTCCTCTGAAGAACTCCCATGAAGGGTGTTATGTAGTGCCACTTGAGCTATTCCGTCCTAATTTCCCTAAGAACTCTAAACCTTTCCTTTATCTGTCAGACTGTCTTCTATTCAGTCCACATCTGTGCAAAATTTGTCTTCATTTTAACTTTATGTGCATAGTCTTAGGCAGGTGTGAACTCACATACATGCACACAAATGCATGTGTATGCATGCACAAACACACATTGATTTGAATCACATTTAATTGCTAAGTAATATTTACAACTCTAGCCCAATTTCAGTTCAGGTCTTCTGACTCCAAAGCCAGTCTCAGTCTCAATGATGACATAATGTTGCAATTTGCCATGAAATAGAGCTGGAGTCTGCCATCGTTTGGAATGGATAGAATGATTGTCTCAATTCTGCGCATCAGGAACATAGAAAAAAGTGTTCTTTGAATTTGCTGAACTTCTTTGGTTGTTTTGAATTGTTATTTCAATACATCATGTATAATTTCTTGCATTTGATTTAATGTATTTTCTGTAAGGATGTTTTGCATTAATGAGGTAATTCTTAAAATTACAGGAACAGCTGGTTTTTCAAGCCTGTGCCTTTGTGTGGTCAGGGTTAAATTGTTCACAGGCACTTTCTATCCATCTTTATGCCCTTTTTATCTCAGTTATTTTCTGTCACAAGCATATTTACGTAATCACAACAAAAACAAAAGTCAGATATAAACAATTCTTGTGGTGATGCTTTAGTTCAGTCATGGCCAAGACTGTGTGGCCAAAAGTTATTCATTTATTTTTAATTTTTAAACCCATTTCTTTCCCACAGTGTATTACAACCTAAAAGAGTTAATGCATGCTATAAACATTAAGGGTTAGGGCTTTATAATGTGTGTCAATACATTTTTAATTTAAAAAATTGTGAATATTTCTCTCTGAAATACTGTTTGAGATAGAACTAAAAACACACAAAATGCTTGATGCAACCCCCTGAGTGTTTAACTGGTGGCTTGAACTCCCCTGAAGACATCAGGCCTTGACTCCTCCATGTCTACAGAAACTGATGCCACCTCTAGAATAAACTTCAGAAAGACTCTTACTGGGAAATTATTGTAGTAATTTCCTATTATCTGGAGATTAATCCATCAAAGGTCTTCCTGTCCATATCTAAAATGGCTAAATATGGTAAAAAGCATAGAGTTTATGAGTCTTATATACCTTGTTTTAATTCACAGTTTTAATTTTTTGAGCTCTTTGGTCTTAGGGAAAGTTATTTAACCACTCATTCATCCAGCATTCCTTGTTACCTATTATTAAATGAATTCTACTGGTGAAGTACAGCTATTCCCCTCCTTCCCATCAGCATTTATACAACCAAATTGGCCTAGTGGAAGTCATATAACCATGTTAACTATTCTCATTTTAAATTTATTTATTAATAAAATTATAAATTCCTTGCCAAAGGCCTCACATGTTCTTTCATTGCTTCCATATTATCACACTTTATGACTTTTTTCTACTCCCTTAGTCAAATATTTATGCACCTTTCTGCAACCAGTTTTTCAGTGTTTGAACTAGATCCTGTCCCCTATTATCTACCTGTGAATGTAACTTCAGAAATTCTTTTTATAACTTGTTCTTTTTTTCCCCAAACTTTTGTTTCAGAATCAGGGGTAGATGTGCAGATTTGTCATAAGAGTATACCGCATGATGCTGAGATTTGGAGTACAAATAAATATGTCACCCAGGTAGTAAGCATAGTATGCAATAGGTAGTTTTTCATAGTTACACCCTCCTTCTCTCCTGACTACTGGTCTCCAGTGTCTATTGTTCTCTTCTTTTTGATCATGTTAAGCCAAAGTTTAGCTCTCACTTATAAATGAGAACATGTGGTACTGGATTTTCTGCTTCTGCATTAGTTCCCTTAGTATAATAGCCTCGAGCGGCATTCATTTTGCTGCAAAGAACATGACTTTATTCTTTTTTATGACTGTGTAGTGTTCCATCATGTCTATCTGCCT